CTATTCAAGAATTGTCTGTAAGTAAATAAAAACAATTGAAGAATTATTACAGGAAATTTAACAGGGCTATGCAGATTTTATTAATTACCTGAAAAAATGAGAAATTTACTCTATTGGAACTTGTTATGTAATGAAGATAATCTAAATAGATTTAAAAGGATTCTATGTAACTAAAGGAAAATAACTTAAAAATTATTGCATAATACCTAACAAAGCATTGCAAATTGAACTATTACCTTATAGAACTAGATATTCACTCTAATGGAACTTACAGGTTTTGTAGGGAAAAGAACCAGTTTGTAGAGAAAGGAAAAAGAAGTCGAGTTGAATGTAACTGAATAAAAACTACTTAATAATATTGGCAGGACAGAGCATTGCATATTGAATTGTCTCATAAAAAAATTGGCAGTGCATTTAATTGCAAATTGTGTGTTATCAAAGGAACAAAATGAAACCATTAGACAGGTATTTGAAGCTTGTCCAATATTAATAAACAAATGATATCAATGAAACTCGACAGACAAGTAACACTTTCCTTTTCTTTTTCTGAACCATAACTACAATAGGAGCTTTAAAACAATAATTTGATTGTACAGTGATAATGTTAGACATTCACAAGTAATGCAATTCAGTTAGTAAATTATTATGGTTACTGTGTCATTTTATCATAGTTTCTCAAGTGTACCCTTTGCATTACTTTTAGTTTGCTATTTTTAAATATTCTATAGTGTACATAGTTAAATTGAAATTAGAACTCCCACATCTGATATAATTGATGTTTCGAGGTTATCTATTAGCTCCGTTGAACAGGTGCCAAAAATGCTCATATAATTATTAACCAATAAAAGTATTGCAGTAAAACCACAAAAAACTTCTTAACAATAATTATAAAATTGCAGTTTAAATTGTTCTTTCATCTGTCGTATACTCCAAAACTGATTCCCAGCTACTACGGGCCGGATAAATTCTACCAAGGGAAGAGCTTTGATCCAAATGGAAAAGTAATTACCGAAACTGAATAAAAATGTTTGGTTTACCGTTTGATACATATACATATGTGGATACTAATATTTCTTAAGAAGTGGTTCAGTTAATAAAATTGTCTGATTAGGAGGGATACATAAGTGTACTAACATCTATTATCTTAAGATATGCTTCAGTCAGTAAAATTTTTTTGATATTTACTATATATAATTAATATTACTACTTTAATTTACTAACTGAAATACTTTTCAAAATAAATCAATTTTTCAACTTTAATTCCTGTCTTAATATCCCTTATTGTCCTTTGTATATATTCTATATCTTATAACCTAGTTTTGACACTTTGAAAAGCGTTTATTAATTAAAATAATACAAGTTTTACTAGACATTCAACGAAAAAGTGCATTACCATATGCTATAGTTCGCATATTAACTTTATTAAATAGTTCACTGTAGGTTTCCTGGAAATCCTTTTTCCTCCACTAGGGTTTTGTTATAAGGAATGTTGCCCTCGCAAAAGTACAAACACAAAAATTGTTGAAATGGATACCAAAATGATATGGAACTGTCCAAGTAGTAGTTACATTGCATGAGTTGAAAAATAATATAGGAATTATATTATTAAAATTGTTGACATAAATATTAAAAAAATGATAATCCCTGAAATTTTTGCTTGGCGTTTCACTTGCATGGTAAATTACTAGCTCTTCTCATCATGTGCTATGACATTTTTCATATATATTTATGCATAATATGGAACGCATTTCATTATTCACAAACACAACGAAATGTACGAGTATTCATAACATTGCATAATTATGTAAAAAAATTTGTTATACATTAAAAAAAAAAAATAAAAAATACAAAATACAAAAATGAAACAAAATGTGATTATATAATTTTGTAATAATGAGGAAAATTACAATAATTATGCTTATAAAAAATTGAAAGAGGAAAAAACCTAATTTCACGCAAAATAAAAGATTTTGCCTGTTGATAAGCTGAAAATTACTGCGAAATGAGGTATTTGCTTTAATTTTAGAAATGATTACATTTTTCTAACTAATTTCAGTACAAAATTCTTGAGAGCTAATTATGGAGGTGTTCAACTAACCGCATTTAACAAGAGACCAGGGACCCCTGTATATTTATAAATATATTTGTTATAGTACTAATTGTTATTCTTAAGTGAGTAATAAGGTTTTTATTTATAATTTATAAATAATACAGTTTATAAACACATTTTATATCCTAAAGACTTGTTTGTTACTTCTAAATTAGCTATAATTTGTATTTTTATTAAAATGAATGTCATACATATTATATACCATTATATTTGAAAAATGTGTAATATCTCATTTAAAAATTAAATAAAAAACTTGTTGACATCACTGTTTTCAATGAATAAGTAAACCTAATTTAAATTAATAACAATTTAACTAATTATAAAAATGTTATTTTGATGCCATCTAATTAAATATGGATTAATTACTTTTAATTAGCCACTTTTGCGCTATCATCAAATAGTAAAATAGTAAAAGTAGAGTTTGAAATTTGAAAAAGGTATAGAATTATCTATAGAACCTATATTTTAATACTCTATCCATTTAATTGTACGCTCTTAGTTTTAGTAGATAATGTGTCTATTTAGATAGATATATCATATTTTATTATATTATATATTAATTTAATTTTATTTAAAATTATATTTTATTTATATAGAATGGTTTTCAGAATAGGTAGGTTTTCAGAATATATGAGTATAATTGTTTCTAAGTCTAGACTTATATTATAAATATATGTAGATAGAATTCTAGAAATATATATATGGTATATAAATATATATATATAAATATATATATAAATATATATATAAATATATATATATATATATATCAGTATCTTGACTTATATCTAGATATATTTATAATAAATGTCTAGACTTATAAACAATTATACTCATATATTCTAATAACCTACAATCCAGACTGCGGTTTTTTTATTTGTAATGTAATAATTTGATTTCAATATAGCTTATTTATAAATACAATTAAAAATTCAAATTACCGCCAATGTAGAATGTTGGAAGAAGGACAAATGCTATGTTCATACTTACTCTTTCATATTAAACAATATGTATGTGCTTTTAGCAATCTCTAGAAAAATGGTTTCTTATTTATTTTTAATCTGGCTGTAGGTCACTTCTTGTTAAATAATTAAACGTTTAATATTTTTATTATACTTTATATTTCGATTCTCCTTGAGAGTCATTATCAGGATTACGATACGTGATTCTTTTTATACTATCGTCTGTATTGTACTAGAAACGATATCAAATTATTTTTAAAAACTTCCAACTATTACTAGATTTGATAACAAAATTTGATTTAAAAGTACGTTGGAATATAGTAGCTCGCAGACTGCAAAACCCCCTTTGTAGTGTAATAAATAAATATAATAATGTCTCTATTCGAAGAGTTTCGAATTTTAGCATCCCACTCCCTAGACTAGATCAAAGTCTAATTTCTAACTAATTTCACATTGCAATAAGTATCGTATATCTACCATTAAAGAATTTCTAATTTAAGAAAGTGGCAGTATACTATATATATTTATATATAACTTGATAATTATATATAATCCTATAATTAACACATTACTTAACCGATACTTTCTACTTCTTTTATTTCTCATCTCTCACAATTACACAATAATTTCTAAAATTAATTTTGCAGTTTAATAATTTAGTTCTCTTATGCAATAAGATACTATAGTAATGAGAAACAATTTTTAATAATATTTACTTTAACAAAAAAATTTTCATAATTAATTACCATAAAATTCATAACAATTTGCTAATTACTTTGCACAACTAAACATACCTACACACAAACTTATGGCTTCAACATAAATACTGTCATTCCTTTTAACATAATAAAATGTAACTTTAAGTGGATGAGTTTTTTCTCTCTGCCGATGTACTTGAAACTTAAAAGAAGCAGATACAAATACAGCTAACAGATACTTCGCAAAGTAGAGTACTCGACATTGTTAATTGCAGTACTGATATTAAAATTGAAAACCTAAACAGAATAATAAATTTAAATTTGTGCTTAGAAAATAAAAGTAAATTGCACTGATGATGTAAGCAGAGCATAATTATTATGCCAGTCTAATTATAAAAATAAAATAATAATAAAAAAACACTACAAAAATATATACTTAATGTGTTTCTTAGCTAATGAAGTTCACTTCATTGGGGAGTAGATAGATATAAATTCAAGCGATAGAACAAAGTGTATCTTTACAGTGTTTGAAGTTTATTTTTATAAAAACTTGTTTGTAAACAAAAACGTTTTACTTTACACATACGAAGACGTATATTTGTTTTGGTTGTTTTTGTTGTTATGAAAATAACAGATAAATAGATACGTAGATAAATTTCTTGCAGATATGGTTGTGTAATTGCCAACTGTGGTTACGCGCTATTGTATGTGTGTTAGATATTTTATTGAGAAATTCTGTTTTTCATTAAGAAGATTGAAAAACAAAAGGAGTACTTCATTTGTAATTTTATATTTTTTTTATTGTTTTTTATTTTTTTTTGTGTACTTACATTTTATCTTTAAATTCAAACTATTTTTATAGCTTTAGCTTTTTTATTTATTTATTTTTTTCTATTTTGGTTGCTTCTCTGTTATTTCTGCTGAAACTTTGCAGTTTTTCCTTATAATTTATGTTGTGAGATTTCTTTACAATTTCTGTATTGTATACAAAATCGCTGTAATTATTGTTTTAAATTTATTTTTAATGCAACTTTTATTATATATCAGTGTTTACTTCCTATGTACATTGGAAGCTCATTGATTGAAATTAATTTCATTTTAATTTCAAACCATTTCACTTCAGCATGTGTGATGGCGTTGTAATGGTTTTAAAAGAAAGAAAATTAATTAAAATACAATTGGTGAAATATTGAATCTCATTAAAATAAATTATATGATTTTTATATTTTCAGAATCAAACAGCGGTTAAACTACAAAGGCAAACGGATTTTTGGATGCTGGTAAGTTTACTAAATGATCACTTAAAAAACAAAACAAAATGTAATTAGGAAAACGCAAATTGTATAGACGCCAATAAAAAAATATATAATTATAATATTTATTTCGTGTCCAGATACCAAAATATCGATACCAGATTAGATTCCTTCAAAGTAGCTAATGACAGCACACATTACTTAAGACGTCTGGGTCACAAATGAACTTTAAAAAATAGTATAATTCAATATCAGGTATAGAAATCAAATTTTTAAAATTGAATGAGAGCATCAGATAATAATATTTCAGATAATATAATTCCATATCAGGTATAGAAACCAAATTTTTAAAATTGAAAGAGAGCTTAAAAAAATTTTAGTTGAGTTAATAAAAGCGCTACATAGAACGAGAGTAAATGTTTCAGAAGTTCTTTAACATCCGTTTCCTTGTACTACCTTTTGCTTTCGTAGCTGCTGGTAATATTCAGCTTTTGTGCAAGTGTTGCAAAAAAACAGTGCCCAGTAAAGTGCTGAATTAAGACACAAATTTGATATATTTATATTTTTATCAAATCTCAAAATGGTTACAGGCTCCTCGGGGAGGTATGCATTCTCCTCTGAGGTCAATTATTACTTAGTCTGATGAAGTGATTAACAATAATTTAGTCAAGGTGTAGATACGGTTTTTGAAGAAACCTCGAGTTAAAAAAGAGTATACGTGCTTAAGTGCACTAGCCATTGCACATATACCAAGGATCATTGCCACCTGCATTTCTCTTTCTTTCAATATGTGTTTAAATAGGTGTCTGTATAGATGGTACAAATATCTCTCTTATTGGATCCTTCCAAAAGCGAACGCTAATTTTAACAATGCCATTATTAATTTCTCTCTCTACTTTTATGGCTAGTAACTTAATGCGTACACAGCTTAACGGTTAAGCCAATATGTGTATTAATTTTTTATACTGCTTACGATTTCTTAAAAATGCTAACTAGAAAGAAACGGCTTAAAAGCTGTTTGGTTGTCTGCAAAGAATTAAATGAGCAGTCAGTTGTTGCTTCCAATTAAACAAGTTCTATTACTTTTCTAACAGCAAATACTTCTACCTTAAAAAAATATTCAGATTTAGATAGTTTTTATGACCTTTTTATGCTCAGCTCAGCAGAATAACCGCCTACCCCAACTCCACAGCATTGATAACTTTTAATAACTGTGTTAAATTTTTCTAGTTAAACGATTCGAGACCACTTTATCTTATATGTTCCCTCCATTCAATTTTGATTTACTTAATTAATTAAAGAAAATTTTGCTTAATAAATATTTATTGCATAAATTCTACATCTAATTTTTTTTAAATTAAAGTTTCTTTTGTTAATCAGTTACTTTATATAACTATAACTAGCATAATATAACATAAAAGACAATACTAACAATGTGTTAACATAGTACTTTATTTAAGTCAAGGCCGCTGTGTTATCATCCATTGAAATTCATAGAGCATTGACTATATATCATAGGATATTGTTTTGCAAATACTGAATTATGGTTATGCTCCAGAAGCCAACAACAGTCATTTAAAGTTATGTGCTATATGTCTAGAAATAGTGCCTGCTAAAAAAAATAATACATTTTGTTTACCTTGAGTTCTTCTCATATCATCTTTTAACTTCACTTTGAACGTTAATTCAAAATATTAAGCTTTATATGGATAAGGAATTCTTGTTTTATTAATATTAATGGTCTTTATTTTTATAGAGCAAAATTCATTTGAACTGAATTATAGAATTATAAATCAAATCAAGTAATGATGATTGGCACTTATTCATTGCGTCTTCTGTAGTTTTTTTTTCTTTGTTAGAACAACAATATCGGTTATATAATATATAGCCATAATAAACATATAACAAATAAGAAGTATATATGTTGTCTAAGAAACAATCTTGTCATCTTGTGGTGACAATTGAGCATTTTGACGCCTTAATTCTAGACATCGAAGTAACGCAATAGAACATATACGATATTAACTGATATAAGAAGAAATATTATATAGCTTCCTTTATCATAATCAAGCTATTTATAATTGTGACGACCCCGAAGTATTTGATGATCTACGAGTTTCAAAGTGCTGTGTAATCGCACATAGCTGTAGTATTATAGCACTTTTGGAATTTTTGAAAATAATTTTAGTTTGTTTTTATTAAACTTGGGAATTTAATATATGGACGCACGTACTTGCATGTTATTCAGAATAATTGTGAGCTGGAGAATGGCATCATTTAACATGATTGACTACATTCCGAAATACTTGTAGACACAAAAATCATCGTATACTATATTTTAAATGCGTTGAGCCCGAAGGCTGTCGTATACCTACTATCAAAAATATAAACTATACATTCATAATAATTATTTTCTGTCTGCTTTATCATTATATTTAGCCGCGAAATAGTGCTTTCACATTAATAATTCTGTTGAAATGTAAATCTTAACATACATTTTTAAAAAGGTCAAGTTAATCAATAAAAACACCCAGAATTATTTTACAATTTCCCACGTTCACTAACATACAATTTAGTCAAAATCAGTTTTTTTTTTCGTTTTGTAGTATTTAAGTTACCATTAAGTATCTGAACAATACCATGTTATTTCCATTAGAAAAATGCCTCCCTATAATCTATTACATGTATAAATTTAAAACTGTAATTTAAAAATTATTTGCTGTCAAACAGAAAATTATTCACAATTTATAAATTATAATGCTTCACAATTTTTTAATAGCGCGCACAGTCAGATACAATTCTTTTTGCTAGAGTAGAGTTTGATTACGAGTATGAGATTGTTTTGCTGTAGTCATTTGAAATTCATGACAAAAAATCAACTATACTGAAACTGAACTGAACTCAAAGGAATAAAAAGAAGCCAGACTTTAAGATGACAAATTTATATGGCTTCCTTTCTTCATAAATTTAAATTAAAAACTGAGAAATAATTTTTTTAAAAGTTTTAGGAAAAACTCACTTGGTGAACTTATGTTTTTCATTTTTTGCTCTACAATGTTGCTCTTGGAGTTGCTCCAAGCAACAAATCAAAGTTCAACTGAAAGTAAATTGCTCTCAGGAAAAAAAATGCATGCGAAAGATTCTCAACAATCTTCATACCACAAAGTATCTTTTTGTCTTAGTGCAAGAGCATTTTTGGATGGATACGTGTGTGTTGTATGTGCTGTGCAGTCAATTTTTTTCTTTTGCAACATTATTTCATATATACCCAAAAAGCGCCATAAAATTACTTTAGAGTTCTTTACAACCACACAAACTATTAGGTGATTTATACAATCAATTCTTTACCAATGCCTTTGTCTGGCGCACTTCAAGTACTACTTCATTTATTTTGGCCACTTGTTCATGTTCTAAAAAATTTGCTCTAGGCCCCTCATACTTTTGAACTTAAGATTTACCACGTATTTGTTCCGGACTGAAGTTGGAAGTCGTGCGTAGAAAAAATAACACAAACTGTGAGCTCGTGACTGCCCCTGGTAAAAGGAGAAATGCTGAAATAAATAAAAATTTGTTCATTCATCCGCGGCTCTCCTCCAGAACTTTCCTTTTTTTTTCTATTATTAAATCTTCCAAAAAAAAAAAATAAGTATTTGAAATTTTTAAAGTTTAATAAAAATAAAGAAAATTCAGAAAAATGCTTTTATCCATCCAGTTTAGTTTCCTGCTCAATGTATTCAAACTTTTGAAAGTAGGCGTGTTGGTATGGCAGTGTAAATGTTTTATAGATTTAAATCATTTCCTGGATTGTTGAAGTTCACTTCACTACTACTTCAGTGTTTGCCAATATTAAAAAAAAGAACTTAAAAAAATCGAATCATGTTCTGAAATGTGAGACTCTATAATTTTACAACAGTAACGCCTACTGTCCACATAAATTACATATCCATTAAGTGAAGGGAAATTAATAATAGAATGAAGGAAAGACGAAAACTTCATGCTTTCTAAAGCAGTGATTGTATATATAGTATATTTGAATGTAGACTTAAATTTAATTTAAAATAAAAGGAGTTTATATCCAAATTATGTGTGTGTAAATATAATATTTGCAATATATATTTACTCTTTTGAAGTTAATATTTGAATGCAATAAATATTATTATACTATTATTATTCAAGTTATCCGCTTTGTACATTAAGAACTCACATTTTATTAATCAGTCTAAGCCCCTCACCCCTTAATAAAAAGTCCTTAACATAATTTATAAAAGAAACTAAACCAGAAAGGATTCTCATGAGAGATAAGAGAGTCTCCATATATTAAAAACATCGACAGAACCATGAATAAGAAAGATGATAGGTTCAAGATCAGTAACAACAGCTACCTGCCACTACTTCAACTTTAACTATATATTTTTTTATTATATATTGTTTATATATTTTATAGTATTTAATTTGTTGTTTACTATTTAAAACTGAATTTTTGTTAACAGATTCCAGTATAAATATCCGCCTTATATGTTTTCAAGAACAGTTGTAATAATAATCCATCCTAAGGAAGAAACTTCAAAACGTTGGCTATATTTTTGTAGAGAACTAAATAAAAATGTAGAAACTGATTAATAAGCTTTTCTATTATTCTCATATGCCGTTTTAAAAAACAAAAACATTTTAAAAAGTGAACTCACAACTATTCAAGATTCACATTAAAGTCACCATTACTATCTTTTTGATATTATATTCAATTAAATAGTTATGTTGGCTATTAATAATTAGCTTTAAAAAAATTTTATAAAAATTTTTATGGTATGAATAGTTTACTATTGACTTAAATGAATTCTTTATATACAAACCAACTCCTATAATGCATGTGTCAACATCGTTTTTATTGCAAATTTGTTGTTTTAGTTCTTTACATAATATTTACTTGTGTATTGATGCTTTTCATTATATTGTGCGTATCAAATTCAACTTTTAATATTGTAGTTTAGGGTTTTTAAACATTTACTGGAAACTTGTTAGAAATTTTC